TCCGCGGAGGCTTGGAAGGAATGATAAGCAGTCTTCAACTCTAGTGTCTTCAGATCGGTTTTGGTTTGCGGCATGACACGATAGAACAGCTGATATATTAAAGATAATCGATGCCTTTTCATAGGCCAATGAGTACTGAGATGTAGGCTTGTGTGTAAATGCATCGCACCTGTCAAATATTGTAGAACAATCGTAAGTTAGGAGAAAGAGCCAGATCAAGCAAAACGGACAGAGGAATTGGATTTTCATCATCAAGCGGGCAGACCGTACCAGGTGAAAGATATCTTGATATGGTTCTCATCAACAGGAAACCGCAAATCCAGCAGTTCAAGCTGACCATAGTATCGATATAACAGATCCCGTCCGGCCGCGCTATCTTTGCCAGCGCCTCTCATGTCCTGCCGCAGCCTGTTCAACGTTGCGCATTCCTCCGAATATCTCTCTGGATCGTCACCGTACGTCTGCCGGATATAGGTTTTGAGAGGTTGTATCCAGTCGATCTCGCTCGTTTGTTTCAGCGGACTGGATATCATAGGCGACTGCACCATCGTGAGAATGGCCCGCCGCGGGAGGAGGGATGGTGGGGAGGAGAAAAAGTGGGGAGGGGTTTATCGCCCAAAATGCAGTCGGCCAGGTAGGCAAACAGGGAAGGTTGCGAGGGTAAGGAAAAATCCAGCTCCTTTTCCAAAACACCACACCAAGAGCGGTCGCAGAGGGTCAGAGAGTAACGAGTGGTATTTGGCCTGCAGAAGTAGAGATCGGAGAGAGCCTTCGATGATGGCTGGGTGTGGGGTATTGGAATTCTAGGATTGGTCTTCGCCGGAGACAATGACGACGATGTTGTTCATTTGGGGGCGGTGGGCTAGAGCGCATGCAAAATCTGTCCTGAATTCGACCTTGAACTATAACTCAACCCATTTAACTAGCTGGAAACCTGGGCCACGCAACACATGACTTCAACCTTCAACAAAAAGAGTGGGAGGGAGGAAGTTGAAGAAAAGGAACAAAAATTAAGGGATAAGGTGGCACGCTGAGGGGCCGCCGACGCCTCTTCTCGAAGCCCGGGTTATTCGAGTTAGTGAGCTGATGTCAAAGTTATTCTTAGGTCGGGTTGGCAGGAAGAGGGAATATATTGACAACTACTCCGTAATATGGGCATCGATGAATGGAACAGGGCGAGCTAAGGCTTGCGATTGGCAGGCGCCGGGCCACCGCTGCACGGCACTAGAGATAGTACGCTTGAGGCATGAGGACAATGCCATTGGTGTCGGGCGCGATCTAGTTTATATACTGGTATTTGCGCATATCTGGAGGCTGTCTCTGGG